CTTGTTTTCTACTCCGTAACACATGGGGTTGCCATGAGTCAGAATTGACTCGACAGCAATGGATTTTGTATACCTTTTATTGGAGGAGGAGATGAAAAGAAAAATCAAAATAATTTTTGTATCAATAGTTCTGTTTTTTCCATTCTTGGTCAGGTCAGTCTTCTCTCTCTGGTCATATTATTTGGATTGGAGGAAAGTTTCATCTGTGCCTTGGAGTACGGGACAGCCAGCATTTTTCATGCTATCACAATCTGCATTTACTTAGATATTTCCCTGCAATGCAGTGACAACTGTGCTTATTTATTGCCCTATAATCCGTGGCTATACAATTCTAAACATAAGAAAAAACATGTTACCAGATGTTAAGAGTAACTTTGAAAACACTTTGCTTATTTCCATTTGGTATCATTTCCTTTTGCCTGCCTGGAGGAATTATTTGAACATTTCTTCAAGTGTGAGTGTGCTGGTGATGAAAACTTTCAGCTTTGTGTGTTTGCAAAAGTCTTCATTTTTTTGGCAGGGTATAGAATTCTAGCTTGATGGCTTATTTTTCATTTTTCTTTTCCTTTCAATATTTTCAAGATATTTCTTCACTATATGCTTGCTTGCATTTTTTCCAAAGAGAAATCTGCTATCCTCCTTATCTTTGGTCTTCTGTACCTAACCTGACTTTTTTCTTTGGTTGCTTTTAAAATTTTCTCTTTATCATTGGTTTTGAGTAATTTCATTATGATGTGCCTTGGAGTAGATTTCACCTTGTTTTTTGTGCTTGGTGTTCATTCAGATTATTGGATCTGTGGGTTTATAGTTTTCATCAAATTTGGGAAGTTTCCAGCCATTATTTCTTCAAATATTTCTTCTGTCTCCCTCCTCCTTCCAGGACTCCAATTAAAGCGGTAATAAAAGGTAGAAAACCAAACCAAACCCGTTGCTGTCGAGTCAATTATGACTCAAAAGTGGAAGGTCCCCTGTAGGCAATGGACATCATTTATGTACCTCCTCAGGCTATTCTAGATTAAGTGTCCCAGAGAGCAGCTCTTCCCTCTTTACCCCACTAAGATAGCTTATCAGAGTTCTGGGTTTCTTTAGAGGGCAATCATCTCCCACTAAGGCACATACTTTATGTCCATTAAAAAAAAACAAGAAACAAAAAAACAAACCCATTGCTGTTGGGCCGATTCTGACTCACAGCGACCCTATAGGACAGAGTAGAACTTTCCCATAGGGCCCAAGGAGGGCCTGGTGGATTCGAACTACTGACATTTTGGTTAGCAGCTGTAACTTAACCACTACACCACCAGGGCTTCTTTATGTCTATTATTAGCTATTATATCCAATAGCAGGTAGGGAGATGGTGAGGGTGCAATTGTAATACAGCACACCTGTGCATCCAGTAGATAAGATGGATGATGAGTGAGCAAATCTACAGTGGGGGTTACCAAATTACTTGGGAAGATATAGTCATGTGTTTCTTAACGTCCACAATACAGTCTATGAAATAGGACATTATGTGATTTAGATGTTATGAGAATATGCCTAAATCACGAGTAATAGCATTCACTGATTTTCCACCTTCGTGTTATTTAATAACCTTTTGTTTCACTCAGTGGCAGGTTATTCAATAACAATGTAAGCACAGGCTTACTTGCACTTACCTGCTAATCTGTCATGAACAATTTCACATTTTTTCACCACATCAAAGATTCTGCTTCTAGGTACGGCTGGCATCTGTCTCTCTCCCAACCTCACAGCATCTTCTTACACAATCAAAGCCTCTTTTCAAATTTATAGTCCCTAACAAGGGCAGATGACCTGTGCTTACAGGTAAGCCCATGCTTACATAGATGTGAAACCCACGTTAAACTGTACACTACAGATTAGCAAGTAAGCACGAGTAAGCCGGTGCTTACCTTGCTTATTGGATAACCCACCCCGGTTTCACTTTTAAATCGATACTTCTTTGCTTCTTGCTGCTCCTATCACTAGCACTGGTTTTGCTGTATTGGGGAGCCAGGATGCACTTCACAGTAATATTTTCGAAAGCTAACACTACAACACTCAAGAGATGCATGATACATGAGACTGGATTCTGCTGCCTATGAGTCGAGACATTTGTAAGTAGGGAAAGTTCACATTAAACAATGATAGAAAGTACAGAGTACAGTACATACATAAGCCAGTAACATAGGTATTTATTATTACTATCAAGACATAGGTGTCATATTATCTCTAATCCCTGATCAAAAGGAGGGAATGATTTATGAGATAGTACTGTAGCCATTATTCTCTATCCTAGAATGTGACCCAGCAGGAGCTGACTCACAAGGACCCACAAGGACTCACAAGGACACATCAACTGGGCCCTGAGGTATAAAACAATAGCTAGGACAATCTTGAAAACATCTTTTAGGGAAACTTTCACATAAACAAATCATAAACAGAGCACAAAAGACCCACATAGTTTCCACTCTAATCTTTTTCTATCGCATTTAGTGAACAGTAAGATTTGTTGGACCAATGAAGACTTTCCTGACTGTCATTACTGAAACCTGTACTAATGATTATTAAGAAAGACAATTCAAAATGTAGAATCATGGTGACTTAGCAGTTTTTAGGCAATCTGTGAAAAGGTGAAGCTTTCAATTGTTTTGCCTGTTTGTAACGTTAATATATACTGATGACTCTGTAACATTCTTTGGATGCAGACAGACATGGCTCTGGCAGCATGCTTGCCTGTTTCCTACTTTTGTCTTTTTGAACATATGCCAAATAAAACCTTTCTTTTTGCCTTACAAAAAAAAAAAAGACATGTGTTATAGGTAATATAGGTAATAAGTACCTTATTAGGTAATAGCTTTGTATACAAAAGACATGGGTACACACATTGAGTGGGGGAAGCTGTTGTGTTTAAGCCTGGTTACATTCACTACATTCTGTTCTCCGATCAGGATTTCTGAACTCTATTACAACCTTATAGAACCACGGACGTATATGCAGTTGGATGTTGCCTGAACAGACATTATGCGGCACATGACTATAATTCATTTACATAGTGGATAAATGTCTTTAATCCTGTAGTGATGTAGAATTCACAACAGAGATGATGAAGAAAATCAGAACTCATAGCATTAAAAATTTGGTGTTATACAACTCAACAATAAAAAGTCAAATAACCCAATTAAAAAATGGGCAGAGAATTTGAATAGATATTTATCCAAAGATCTACAAATGGCCAGTAAGCACATGAAAAGATGCTCAACATCATTTGTTATAAGGGAAATATAAATCAAAACCACAATGAGATATAACTTCACACCTACTGGATTGGCTAAAATAAAAAAGAAAGATAAAGCAAGCTTTGGCAAGCATGTAGAGAAATAGAAACCCTCATATATTGCTGCTGGGAATGCAAAATAGTGCAGTTGCTTTGGAAAACATTTTGCAACTCCTCAAAAAGTTAAATATAGAATTACTATATAACCCAACCATTCCACACCAAAGAGAAATGAAAAATATGTCCACACAAAAACCTATACATGAATGTTCCTAGCAGCATTGTTTATAACAGAAAAAAAAAAAAAAAAGGAAACAACCCAAATATCTATCAGTTGATGAATGGATAAACAAATTGTGGTATATCCGTACAATGGAATGTTATTCAACCATAAAAAAGAATGAAGTACTGATTCATGCTACAACATGGATGATCCTTGAAAACATTATGCTAAGTGAAAAAAGCCAGTCACAAAGGACTGCATATTGTATGATTCCAGTAATATGAAATGGTCCAGAATAGGCAGATCCATAGATCGATACAGAAAGTAAGCTGGTGTTGCCTAGAACTGGAAGCATTGCGGGGAAATGGGAAATGTCTTCTAATGGGTGTGAGATTTCTTTTTGGCGTGATGAGAATATTCTGGAATTAGATAATGGTTATGGTGGTACAACTTGTGTGAATATACTAAAAATAACTGAATTGTACAAAATTTAAGGAGGCACTCACTTTAGAAGTGTTGCAAGTGCAGGGTTGGCAGCTAAGAGTGGGTGCCTGATTAAATTTTGCACCCTAGCCACCTGGCTTGCCTCATTCTAATCTGGGCCCTAAAGAGAACGCATTAATTCTGATTAATTTGGTGGGGGAGGGGACAGGGACATTTGCTGAGAGACAAAGTTTTGGGAGAGCCTCCTCCTTCAAAGGGGAAGTCCTTCATCAGCTCTCTTCTTCTGGACATCTTTGCGTCGGTATGTAATGCTGCCAACTGTGAACAGCCTGAGGACGAAGCTGGCAAACTAGGCGATGGGAAGATGTGCGAGTCTCTGAAGACATCCTGGACTGCTGAGCCAAGTGAGCCCTGCACCTAACCCCGGCCGAGGACGTGACCAGTGTCCGACTCCTGCTGAGGCGGGGTCTCTTTCTGACTTGCACGGATGACAGGGCTGCACCCACAGACACCGCAGTCAAGCAGCGGCAGCCGAGAAAGCTTGAGTGAACGGGGCTGGAGCGCCTGGGGCTTGATTGGGTTCAAGCCTGATCCTGAGGTATGGGACCAGGCACAGATCTTTCCGCTCCAGCGGAATCCTTCATAGGTACAAAACAGGGGCTGAATGAAGATCCAAGGTACCTCCCTGCCCCGAAACCGGAGCTACCTCTCAGCCTCGGCTTCCCGGAGGCGGAAAGGCTCAGGGCTCGGCGCTCGCTTCGCCTCTCCTCAGGTCCCGCAGTCTCTCCTTCCACAGCGCAACGGAGCCTTTGCCTGGGCTAGCGGTCACTGCATTTCAGCCCGCTTTCCCTTCCAGAATAATCCGGTTCAGGGGTCGCCGTGCACAGCCCACCCGTGTTCCAGGCGCTCGCCCCCAAGTGGAACTGCGGGTTCCAAGGGGAAGGGGCGGAGCGAGGTGCGGGCAGAGGGCACCGGCTGACCCCGCCCTGCCTCCTGGCCCCGCCCCTCCCGCGGCTGGCCGGAAGCCTGGAGGTCTCCGAGGCTGGCGGCGAATGTAGTCTGTGCGCACCGGCACGGAGAGGACCCGAGGCACTTTCTGCTGCCAGCGCCCGGAGCGCCGCTTCTCGGTGTCTGTGGCGGCTTGGACAGCGGCCAGGGAGACCGCGTGGTGCTCAAGTGCGCAGGTGGGTTTTCTGTCCTATCACCCTGGACAGGGGTGGGGCAGGTTGGGGTCCGCGGGCTAACGCCGCTTGTGATGCAGAGGGGCGCAGTTGAGGACCCCTGAGCTGCTGGGAGGACGCAGAAGCTGTCATAGGACCAAGAGAACCCGCGAAAGCGTATTCTTTCCATGTTTACAGAGATATGAACTCTCTCGGGACCGCAGCGGGTAAATGCCAGCTAGGTTTTTACGCTGGTCGGCACCAGGGTCTGTGCTGTGTGATCCGCTGCAGACCACCGACGCTGCCCTCTTCCGGCATCTGCCTCTACCCTGCTTCCTGCCCCTTCCCTAGTCTCCGTCCTTACCCTGCGCCCATTCCCACCTGCCTGCCTATCTCCTCACCTGTCCTTCTTTCCTTGGTGATCCTCATAATGACCTCTGACCCTGACCCACCTCTTTTCTGAAACGGTCCTGCTAAAATCAATCTCCAGTTCTAAATCCAAGCACTTCCCAACCGTCCTAATTCTTTGTGAATCCAACGCACACTTATCCAGCCCTTCCTTTTCCTGAGCCCTGTGCCGTTAAAGAGGGATGAGTTAGGCTGGGGACTGCGGGGCGGGAGGAATGGAGGGGGACCTCTCTGGGGTAGGGATGCTACAGCCTCCTTTAAGGAGGGACTGGGAGGAAGAGTGGAATCAGCCAGGTGAAGGGGCAGGGTTAGGAGTTTCTAAGTTGGGTAGAGTGTTTGCAGAGGCTCAGAGATGAGTTGGGGAACTGAATGGGGGTTTAGGAAGGCTAGAGTTAGAGGCTGTGAGAGGGAGCAGGCTGGAGCAGGAGGAGGGCCAGTAGAGAACAGCCTGGACAGCCAGGTGAGCCCTTGACACAAGTGTGGACTCTGAGTGGTGTCCTAACAACCTGGGGAGTGTAAGCAGGTGGGGTCATGGCACCAGTCTTGCATTTTTGCTAGCTGGGCTGATGACAGCGTGGAGAGCTTCAGGGGAGACGGAGATGGTGGTCTAGACCACGTGCAAGATCAAGAGAAGCGGACAGACACCAGAGATATTTCGGGGTGGAATGCAGACCCTGGTGAAGGATGTTGGGGGGATGAGGGAGAGATGGAAGGAGTCAGGAGGCTTCCCGGGTGTCTGAGGTGAGCTCCTGGGTGAGCAATGGTCCCAATCCGAAGGAAACGGAGGGAGGTGGGCTGTGGGCAGTTTCTCAGGTGTGGTCAGCAGCCCTTCAGCATCTTACAGTTGGCCAGCTCACTTGGCTTCACAGATAGCCCTCCCTGGTCTCACTGGTTCAACCTCATCTCTGACTGTTCTTCGCTGGACACTTCTCTGTTTTTCCCACCTTCACACTCTGGCTGTGCATGAACTGCTTTCCTCCCCACCCTGCACGATCTACTCTCCTGGCATTTGCTGGGACTAATGAGCTGTCTCCCAAATCTGTGTTTCTGAGTTTGCAAGAAAATTGAAAAACAAAACAAAAAACCACACAGTTGCCAGTCTTTCTTCCAGTGTTCTAAGGTCAGTGGCTCTAGAGGGCAGTTATGTGGTGAACTCTGGACAACGGGATATCAGGAGGAGGGCTGCTCACTGAGCTGTGGGCTGGGCATCTGCCCATCCAGGAGAGGAGCTCCACTCACAGAAGAGCAAATGGCTCTCCCTCTCCTGGCCTCAGGGGCAGACTGACCAGCCTGCTGTCAGCCTCTCCCTGGGGCCCTTCAGCATCTCTGCCTACCATTATGACAGCTGCACTTTTGTGAATCAGCTGATAAATGGGGAGGGCACGGACTGGTGCATAACTGAAAATCCAGCAAGGGCTCTTCCTACATTGATGCCAGGAGTAAGCAGAGTGTTTCTGAGTCCAGGCTAGAGAACCAAGAAGTCCAGCACTCTGGTCCCCCTTCCTGCCTTTTCTCCTTCCTTACCCCCACCCTCCTCCTGAGATAGGAGGAGTTTGTCCTTTATGGGAAAGACTTAGAGTTCACGGCTCCCTGCAGCTTTCCTCTCAGGATGTGTGTGTGTGTGTGTGTGTGTGTGTGTGTGTGTGTGTGTGCACGCGCGCACGCGCGCATGACTGTGTGTGTGTGAGTGTTCGTGTGAGTGTGTGTGAGCAGATGTATATGAATGTCTCTGTGTGTGTACTCCAGCTCATTTGATCTATTGCCACGACCACACTTATTTAATTATCTTGAAATTTGGATTTATTTTTTGGGTAGAGAACAACACTAAATGGAATTTCCTCAAACTTAAATATTTATGAATTTAAAATGCAAAAAAAAATACAATTTCAAAATTGTCTTGTACAAGGTCAACAAACATTGAGGTGTGTATGGAGTAGCATTTCTCTTTGTTCTCTGATTCCAGAACTGCACCATGGACGCACTCACCGAAGCAAATGGCACCTTTGCCATCCGTCTTTTAAAGATACTATGTGAAGAAAACCCTTCACACAACGTGTTTTTTTCTCCCCTGAGCATCTCCTCTGCCCTGGCCATGGTCTTCCTGGGGGCAAAAAGAAACACCGCTGCCCAGATGGCCCAGGTATGAGTGACTGTCACCCAGGAGGAAGGCAGGCTTTGCTGGTTTTCTGTCAGATCATCCAGACCTCTACCTCACTCTCCAGAAGTGCTGATGAGAGAGGGCTGGGGGAGTGGAGCCAGTGTGTGCACATGCCAGCGCTTGTTTTAGATCAGGGAGGAAGGTGAAAAGTGGAAGGCAGAGAGCTTCCTTAATGAGATTTTCCTGGAAAAGTTTCCTCAAAACCAGGAGAACACTATCAAAATTTTGTCCTAGCATTTTATCTTTGTTTAGAAAATGATACTAAAATTATTTCAAACTTAAGCTACACAGATCTCTCTCTTTTTTAGAGCAAAAGACTTTGTAGCTATAATTACTGCTTAGTAAGGAAAGGTAAATTAATGTCTATTTCAAGTAATTTATATACCAACTTACCTTTCAGCTCAGCAAAGTAATAAAGCAGAAATATGAAAACTAGGATAAAAGGACATGTACTGCAATTACAGGTACATACGTGTGCATGCACAATCACATATATTGACGTACTACAGTTAGATGTACAGGTATGTGTATGCACATGCACATATATTGGCATGTACTGCAATTGCATATACAGACACGTGCGTGCACTAGTTAGCTCGGTTTAGCAGACATTAATCTGGAAACGACTAAGGTCATTCCCTGTCCCCCAGGGGCTTACAGAGTGGTTAGGAGAGTGTCCATGATGAGCTGTACACCTTCATCTTGGGAGTGTGAGTCACTGTGGTTGCTTTTTGTTTCAGTGTCGCTTTCTTTTCCTTTGAGGACCCTTTTTAGTAGTGATTATTTATTTTAATCATTTTCCATCTCATTCTGTGAAAGAGTGGAGGTTTATGTGTTGAGGGGAGTTCTTTTTACTTAAGATTTTTATAAAATTTTCTAAGGTAGCCTATAAACTGTTATAGGGTGTTTTTTTATTTTTATTATTTTTGTGCTTTAAGTGAAAGTTTACAATTCAAGTCAGTTTCTCATGCAAAAATTTATACACACATTGCTATGTGACCCTAGCTGCTCTCCCTATACTGTGACAGCACATTCCTCCTTTCCACCCTGGATTTCCCGTGTCCATTCAACCAACTCCTGTCCCTTTCTGCCTTCTCATCTCACCTCCAGACAGGAGCTGCCCATTAGTCTCATGTATCTACTTCAGCTAAGAAGCACTCTCTTCACGAGTATCATTTTATGTCCTGTAGTCCATTGTAATCTTTGTCTGAAGAGATGGCTTCAGGAATGGTTTCAGTTCTGGGCTAACAGAGAGTCCAGGGGCCATGTCTTCCGGGGTCCCTCCAGTCTCAGTCAAAGCATTAAGTCTGGTCTTTTTACTAGAATTTGAGTTCTGCACCACACTTCTCCTGCTCCGTCAGGGACTCTGTTGTGTTCCCTGTCAAGGTGGTCATTGATGGTAGCCAGGCATCATCTAGTTCTTCTGGTCTTGGGCTGATGGAGTCTCTGGTCTGTGTGGCCCTTTCTTTCCCTTGGGCTAATGTTTAACTCATGTCTCTGGTGTTCTTCATTCTCCTTTGCTCCAGGTGGGTTGGGACCAATTAATGTGTCTTAGATGGCCGCTCCCTACCTTTTAAGACCTCAGACGCCAGTCAACAAAGTGGGATGCAGAACATTTTCTTAATCAACTTTGTTATGCCAGTTGAGCTAGATGTCCCCTGAAAGCATGGTCCCCAGACCCCCGCCCCTGCTACTCTGTCCCTCGAAGTGTTTCATTGTGTTCAGGAAACTTCTTAGCTTTTGGTTTAGTCCAGTTGTGCTGACGTCCCTTGTATTATGTGTTGTCCTTCCCTTCACCTAAGATAATTCTTATCTACTATCTAGTTAGTGAATACCCCTCTCCCTCCCTCCTCACCTTCATAACCATCAAAGAATGTTTTCTTCTGTGTTTAAACCATTTCTTGAGTTCTTATAATAGTGGTCTCATACAATATTTGTCATTTTGCAACTGACTAATTTCACTCAGCATAATGTCTTCCAGATTCATCCATGTTATGCGATGTTTTGCAGATTCATCGTTGTTCTTTATTATTGCATAGTATTCCATTGTATGAATACACCATAATTTGTTTATCCATTCGTCCATTGATGGGCACCTAGGTTGTTTCCATCTTTTTGCTATTGTGAACAGTGCTACAGTGAACATGGGTGTGCATACATCTATTCATGTGACGGCTCTTATTTCTCTAGGATATATTCCAAGGAGTGGGGTGCTGGATCATATGGTACTTCTATTTCTAGTTTTTTAAGGATGCGCCAAATTGATTTCCAAAGTGGTTGTACCATTTTACATTCCTACCAGCAGTATATAAGTGTTCAAGTCTCTCCACAACCTCTCCAGCATTTACTATTTTGTGTTTTTTGGATTAATGCTAGCCTTGCTGGGGTGAGATGGTATCTCATTGTAGTTTTGATTTGCATTTATCTAATGGCTAATGATCATGAGCATTTCCTCATGTATCTGTTAGCGGCCTGAATGTCTTCTTTGGCGAAGTGCCTGTTCATTTCCTTTGCCCATTTTTGAATTGAGTTATTTGTCTTTTTGTTGTTGAGGTTTTGCAGTATCTTGTAGATTTTAGAGATTAGATGCTGATCGGATTTGTTGTATCCAAAAATTTTTTCCCAGTCTGTAGGTTGTCTTTTTACTCTTTTGTTGAAATCTTTTGGTGAGCATAAGTGTTTAATTTTTAGGAGCTTCCAGTTATCTAGTTTCTCTTCTGATGTTTGTGCATTGTTAGTAATTTTTTATATTCTGTTTATATGGGGAGTTTTTTGAGAGCACCCAGATGGTCTGGTAACTCTGAGGTGTGACCCTGACAGTCCCTGATGCCCTCTGTTTTCACCTAATAATAACGAGGCAGCCAGTAAGCTAGCTACACACTGCTATCATAACATGAGCTGAAGCTATAGGAGCAGCAGAAGTATTTTAAAAATTATTTGTTTTTCCTTCATTATATAAATGGGAAAAATCTTAAAAATAAAAGTAGAAGGAAGAAAAGAAAAAAAATCCCTAAGAACTCCCAACCCAGAGACAATCACCCACCCTTGATAATATGGAAGCGTTTTCTTCCAGTCCTTTCCCCTCATTTTGTTTTAAATTTTATGCTTTGGTGATTATACTGTGTCTTTACTTACATTCTTTCGTTTAATGTGAGGTTCTGTGAGAAAACCTATATAACACTTTTCACGTAGCAAGTGCTTAGTACATCTTAGCTCATCATAATAGTGATACGACTGTCTTGTGGTTTTAGCTTTCGTTTTTGTTCTGTTTTTGACAGGTTTTCTTATCAATCATATATGAGCTTTATAAAATGAATTTTGTAGCTTTCTGTGTTTTTCTGTGCTATAAAACTGTGTGTATTGTGTGAGAAATACAAGTTTCTTAAATATTTTAAAAAATTCATAAAATCACCTAAGCCTTTGTAGAAGTAATTGTCTGTTATCTTTGTTTCTTCCATTGTTACTGGTGTATTCATATTGTTAACTTTTTTTTATTGTAATTAAATGAAGTTTACATTTCAAGTTAGTCTCCCATACAATTTTTTTTTTTTTGCATACATTGTTATGAGACCCCAACCACTCACCCCATTCTGCAACAGCACACTCCTCCCCTCCGACCCTGATTCCCCATGAACATTCAGCCAGCTCCTAACTCTCTCTGTCTTCCCATCTCACCTCTGGACTGAAGCTGCCCCTTTGGTCTCTTGTATCTACTTGACTAAGAGGCACATTCTTCACGAGTGTCACTTTATGCCACATAGTCCAGTCCAATCCCTGTCTGAAGAGTTGGCCTCGGAAATTGTTTTAGTTCTGGGGTGATACAGAGTTCGGGGGCCATGCCCTCGGGGGTGCCTCCAGTCTCAGTCAGACCATTAAGTCTGGTCTTCTTACTAGAATTTGAGTTCTGCATCCCATCGTTCTACTGCTCCATCAGGGACCATCTGTTGTATTCTCTGTCAGGACATTCATTGGTGGTAGCTAGGCACCATCTAGTTCTTCTGGTCACAGGCTGATGAAGTCTCTGGTTTATGAGGCCCATTTTGTCTCTTGGGCTAATACTTTCCTTGTGTCTTTGGTGTTCTTCATTCTCCTTTACTCCAAGTGGTTGGGACCAGCTGATGCCTCCTAGATGGCCGCTTGCAAGCTTTTAAGGCCCCAGACACCACTCACCAAAGTAGGATGCAGAATATTTTCTTAATAAGTTTTGTTATGCCAGATGACCTAGATGTCCCCTGAAAGCATGGTCCCAGACCCCCCATCCCTGCCACTCTGTCTCTCAAAGTATTTGATTGTATTGAGGAAACTTCTTAGCTTTGGTTTAGTCCAGTTGCGCTGGCTTCCCCTGTAGTGTGTGCTGTCCTTCCCTTCACCTAGGATGATTCTTATCTACTATCTAGTTAGTGAAAAACCCTCACTCTCCCTCCCCACCCCCATAACCATCAAAGAATGTTTTCTTCTGTGTTTAAACCTTTTCTTGAATTCTTAAAACAGTGGTCTTATATACAGTATTTGTCCTTCTGTGACTGACTAAATTCACTCAGCATAATAAATTCCAGCTTCCACCATGTTATACAATGTTTCACAGCTTCAGCATTGTTCTTTATCGTTGCATAATATTCCATTGTGTGGATATACCATAGTTTGTTTATCCATTCGTCCGTTGATGGGCACCTAGGTTGCTTGC